ATGGTACATGGAGGCTGTGGTAGGGAAACAACAGGATATTGATGAAGATTATCCAAGGGGCTCAGAAGTTTCCCGAAAGAAACAAACTAGGGCATTACCATAGTGTAAAAGGGTCTGCCTTCTAGTGCTCCAGTCCTGCTGCCATATTTTCCATTTCACGTTGTCATGGAAGTATGCAACAACAGTAACCAACCCTGATTCAAAACTTGGGCTCCAGGAATTGTAATGATTTGATTTTCTACAGGTTTCTATAATTTGTAATTAACCTATCATAATATTAAATATATATCAGTAATTTTAAATATGCATTTTGAAAATGAATATCTCAGTGTTTAAACCTAAGGGTGCTTAGACATCTTCTGGGTTTTTATATTCTTTTCATAACTTTTATTCTAAATTTATTTATTTATTTTACATCCTGACTGCAGTTTCCCCTCCCTCCTCTCCTTCTATTCCCTCTGCCCATCTCCCTCTGCACCTTCTTAATCCACTCCTCCTCTTCTGTTCAGGAAAAGGCAGGCCTTCCATGATACCAACAAAACACAGCATTTCAGGTTATAAGACTAAGCACCTCCACTTGTATTAAGGCTGGGCAAAGCAACCCATTATGAAGAATAGAGTCCCAAAGGCCAGTAAAAGAGTCAGAGACAGACCATGCTCGCACTGCTAGGAATCCCACAAGATCAAGCTACTCAGTTGTCCTATATATGCAGAGGGACTAAGGTTTTTTATCTTCTTAATATAATTATGTCAAAATCTATCCAAGTTTCATGTGTATTTATACTGCGTATTTGAGATATATTTCAATATACGTTGGCATACACATTTACAAACACACACACAGAGACAGATTATCAGTTAATAACCCAGTTGTTTTATTGCTCACTAGGTATCTTGGAGTAGCCTTGAAATTGTGGCAATCTTGTCTCAGTCTTTCAGATGCTGGGATTACGCATGTGAGCTGCCACACCCAGCTTTATAATCATGTTTCTAAGGACTACTGAGAAAATCATGCCAATGAGAAATAAAAGCGTTTCTGCAATAATTGAGAATGTAAACCTTAGGCAGATATGTCATTTGAGACATTTGTACAGATGCAAGGGCTAAGTTTTGGAAAAACTGTTTTAACATGGTATGCAAAGTAGCCAAAAAGCAGCTCCTCAATATTAGCTAAATAATCCATCATATGAGAATTTATTAACTGGAAATGCAAAAGTAATCAAAGACTTTGAAAACTGGTGTTAAAATATTAATGATTAATGCATTTTAATGATAAATTTAAAGTAGTATTCCAAATTCTGCAAAAAAAAAATCAAAAGTGATCAAAACAAAATAATCACATTTCAGATGAAATCTGAACAGTTTAGTTTTGAAAAGGAAAGGAAATGGGGGAAGAAAGGAGAAGTTTCAGTTTAGCAGCAAGCTGCAGAGCGTAGTGGAAGCCTCTGGAAAGGCAGAAGACAAGGCTAGATAGAAGTGAGGATGTCAGTGGGGGAGATGAGTGCGGCTGAAAGAAGGACAGCCACCAGCCTACTGCTTTTAGAGCAGTTGTGGCAAAGAGTCCAGCCTCTACCAAACCAGCAAAATCTTCAGCACTCCCCAGTTTGTCTTTCTTTTTTTCTACAGAAACAAGAATTTAATAACACAGAAATATGCATTTTACATGGCTAAAACCATAAATGCTATGTATATTTAATCATTTATCTCCATTATTCCATTTAACTCTCCAAAAAGTAAAAAGTGGTTCAAATGTGATTATACTCTTTACATGCAGTGAAAATTAATACAGGTGGGATTTAGCATTTTATTAGGTATCAGATTGTAGACTTAAGAGTCCCATATATTCTTTCTGTCAGTACCTATATTCTCTTTTTTTTTTGATTAAACAAAAGGGAAGGGTTCAACTTTAACATAGTAAAATTACATATAACAAAATATGGATGCCCCAGTGGTACAGAAGAACTTTGGGTAACTGTCCAGGCAGTGAGATGTCTCTGTCAGTTCTAGAGATTTGGAGGTTGTTTACAATGCCCTTCCTGTTTGCTTAGGTAATATTATATCCTTCTTTGATGGAGTTGAAGAATTTATAGTTATAGTTTTCCTTAGTAAAGATAAAGTAGACATAAATATTGTATCCAGTTTGTCTTTCAAAATGAAAAATATCTAAGTTCTTAAGAACTTGTGTTTGACATTAATTTTAAGGCAAATGAAAGTGTAGATTTATTACAGGAGATCCACAGTCATTTTAGTAGCAATTGTGCCTCCCCCTTCACCTTTTTACAGAAGGGATGATTCAAGTTTCTACATCCCTATCTGGGAACTTAAGATATTAGCCCCGACTCTGGTAGTTGCTACTAGGCTTCAAAGAGATGACGTAAGAGCCAGAAGCACAGCTGAGAGAATAGCTATGACAATGTCTCCATGAATTGTTGTTCACACTGCTACTATGTGGGTCACTGGGTAGAAGTCATTAGGAGACAGCTTTTACCAGAGGCTAGAGAAAGGCCAGAAGGACCTGGCTTGTAAAATTCTCAGAATATTGGCATGGGTCACCTTGAAAAAAGGTGAAGTGTTTGGCACTGCATGTTTTCCAAATAAGTGATACCTTACAAGAGGGACTGGCCAAGACTGGGCAATACAAAAGGCAGGTGGTAGGCCCGTATTCATGAATCTGCCTCACCAGAGTTATATGTATCACCTGACTCTTCGCCCCCAACTTCATTAAAGAGCCCATAGGATAATTTCAGTGACTGGGAACATTGCTAGTCAGCCATTGATAATAATAGCTCAGCCGTTCCTAGGGATTCATCAGGACTAGTACACAGGGACACGGTTGATGTTCTCGCGTTCAAGCTGTAGGAAAATACTGAGGCCAGGTTTAGAATTAATTTGAAATAGGCTCAGAGGCATACAAAAAAATAATCCCATGACTTTCTGGCTAAATGTAATAAAACCAGGACACAAAAACATGCTTGCTTCCCCAAAAGTTGGTGATTGCTGAGGCATCGGAGGACATGGCATGAAGATGCTCCAAGAGAAGCCATTGTAGAGCTAGAAGGAAGACATCCTATCTTATTAAATATTTCAGCTACAAATAATTTATCATGTCACACATACACACACGCACACACACACACACACACACACGAGGCATGCACATGAAAAACAAGCTGAGAAACACTGTTCACTGTGGCAAGCTTCTCGGCAGAAGGACCCCATCTGTTTGAACCTTGAAGGCACGCCCTCTGTTGCCCAGGCTGTAGACTGAAGTAAAGTTCTTATTTTATTCCAAAATGTTGTCATATTTTTAATGTACCTCCATATTTTAGAGCTAGGTGAGCTTCTAGTAGAATTCATGTCATATTTATCTCATGCCTTTATGTTCTTCTTTAGACCCTCACTCTGTCCCCTCTCTTACTTTTGGAAGAGTCACTCATTAGGCGAGGCATAAAGAGTCAATAAAAGGGATCATCTAGTGATGTCATTCTGGGAGTTTGCAATGCAACCATCATTTATCTAAGCAATATCCCAAGATATTTCTTCACTCTTTCACTAGGTGTTCATCACCAGAGCTCTTGTACAATCCCTAAGGGTGTTTGGTTTAGCGGCTTCAGTGCTGCTAAGACAAACTCCCTTGGGGGATGGTGTGTCCATTGTTTCCCCCAGTGCAGTGTTATTCACAAGAATCTTTCATGGCTCACAAACTCCTAACTCTCACTACATCGAGTATCAGGAACCCTTCCTTGTCTGTTGTCCATGCACCTGTCATCTTGTTGGTCTTTTCCAAACATCTTTAGCCTTCCCAGCAGCTGAAATAACAGATGGTCAGGGAGATCCTGAGATTTCTTGACATCTTCCTTCCGTTTATAAATTCTGTCTCCTTTCACGCTGGAATCTCCTTATTAACCTTTGATGATTTTCCCCATGGGACATTATTTTGTCTTAAGAAATGAATAATTGATAACACATAAGTCAATGCAAATAAAAAATAACAAATCCCTTTGAATACTGTCTATCAGAAAATATGAGCGGAGATGTGGTCATGTAGAATTGACACAAACATGCTTTTGTATTAAAGGGTAATTGCCAGTAGCCAGGTTCCTGGTGAGGAAGCCTGGACAGGCCCTGGATGTCTTAAGCCAGAGGAGAGGTGTAGTTTTGGCATGTTGGAAGTCTGGCAGGTACCAGGCTCCGGAACTGTAATTCTAGTACTAGATCCCTCTCTTCAAGAGACATGGTTATTAGGCAGGTCTGTGGGGTTAAGGGAAGCAAAATATAAACTATTACTCAATTGAATGCAGTTGGAAACAATTGGCTTAACTTCTCTATGCCTCATATTCATCATCCATAAAAACAACATTAAATACTAGTTACCACGTAGAGTTGTCTTGATTCTCAAATAAGCAAATACATAGCAAGTGCATAGCCTAAGGCCAAGATTCAATTAATGAACGCTATTGTTATTTAAGTAATGAGTAAGAGTCATGGATAGGAATGTGGGGAGAAGAGGCTAGTCTTTAATAACACCGTGTAAGACAGAGGCTATCTCGTACTCAGTGGGGTTTCTGCGTACAGGTCTTTAAAGGGGAGGACCTGGTCAGACGATGCCCAGCAGAATCGATATGCTCCCTCTGCTTTCTGTGCTCTTACCTACCCAGTCTTTTACCGGGATCTCTTCTTCCTACACTCTCTTAATGCATGGATCCCACCCTCCCTGCTACTCTTCTGCAAGGATTGCTATGAAGTTCAAAGTCCAAAGCACCTAGTACTACACAGCTATCCATCTGGTAACGGCTGTTTTTATTGGTGTACATTATAATGTACTCCATTGTGCTTCACAAAGAAGCTTAATCCAGTGCATAATACAGATTATTGTATTACTAAATGTGCCTTTGATTTAAAAAAAAAAAAAAGAGCAAGACTGAATATTCAAAAAAATCAATATTTCATTCTCTGCCTATCAGCCCCAAGCACTAACTAAATTCCTCTGCATTTTCCAGGGATCTGAAACTTGGCAATGTGTACCAGTACCAGATTATCACCATTTCAGGAACCAAAGAGAGTGAGCCATCACCGGCTGCCATATACACCCATGGAAGTGGGTACTGTGGTGATGGCATTATCCAGAAGTAAGTAGTTTCACCCATTGAAAAAGGAGGCTTGGGGAAATGGTAATTAGGTCAGGAGATGGACAAGGGGCTTGACTAGGAGATGGTTCCCTATGCATAAACTCTGAGGCACTGGTGCTCTCCAACCTCCTGCTAGAAGGCCTGTAAGCCGTCTGCTGGCTTTGGAAGAAAGTTCAGTGACTGCTTTCTTGGGTTATACTCATTTCTCAATTGTATGACATATGACTTAGCCAGAGATACAAATATGCATTTCCTACCCTCTGCTTTAAATGTTGGTTGTTGGAGGCTGGAGAGATGGCTCAGCAGTTAAGAGCATTGCCTGCTCTTCCAAAGGTCCTGAGTTCAATTCCCAGCAACTACATGGTGGCTCACAACCATCTGTAATGAGGTCTGATGCCCTCTTCTGGCCTTCAGGCATACACACAGACAGAATATTGTGTACTTAATAAATAAATATATTTAAACAAATAAATAAATAAATAAATAAATATTGGTTGTTTTTTAAATCAAAGGCTTGTGTATCTTAAATAAAGTCTTAAAAAAATCTGAAAAAAAAAAAAAACTTTCTTTAAACCAGGCATGGGTATGAATGTAATTCCAGCACTTGGGACGTAGAGGAAGGCAGATCTTGGAGTTAAAAGTGAGCCTGCTCTACAGAGCCAGTTCCAGGACAGCCAGAGCTACACAGAAAAACCATCTTTGAAAAAAAAAAAATCAAAACTTTTTTTTTTTCTTAAAGTCGTATTTGAATTTAATCACACACACATTTGAAGTGGCAAGAACCACCCAATTTCTAATCTGGATCGCTAATGTGGGCTGATCCACCTTTAATGTGGACCACACCCAATATCCTCTTTAAAGTGGAATTTTGGTTATCTAGTTCCTCGACTTAAAATGTATTCAAAGATTTCTTTTTATATTAAATATGATAATATTTGAAAAATTATGTTTCTTTGCTGGTTACCTTTTACATTTGTTAAAACTGCAATGACCAATTCAGAAATTGTGCCAAAAGCTCAGAAATGTAACAGAGTATTGTAAGAAACAATAATGAAACTGTAAGCACTAAACAATATTCCAGACTGAGTTGAGACCTGAAAATGAATACACTGGGTCAGTGAATCAAGAAATGTAAAAATTTCAGTCCAGCTAGAAATTACAATTGCAAAATATCAAGTTGTATGTAAAAAGCAATATATCTTGTAGTCTGTTCAGTCTGTGCATTGCCTAGTCCTTGGGGCAGGAGGTATGCATCTGCCAAACAGAAGCAAGAAGTCACGCACCCTCCCCACCACCAACTTCTGCTCTATTTTCTTCTCAAATATGCACAAAACAATCAGATGCTGGCACAAAATGGACGTCTTCATTTTCCTCTATAAATGAAGAGAAGACCAAGCACCATTCCAAATTAAGTTTGTTATTGCTTCCATTGCTAGCGTATTTATTTGCAAGGGACACTATCACTAAAGTCTAAAACCATTGGCAGGGTTAATCCCATGCCTCATGTGTGAGATGGCAAAATAAGCTATGGGCAAATTCCTTCATTAAGTGCGCTGTTGGATGTCACGGAATATTTTTGCAACTAGGGATTGCAATTACTATTCCGGCTGGGGAATGGGTGGTGTGAAGGGTGCATTTGCTTCAGGATTGATGAAAGCATTCATGTGCAGCCTAGGAATTGCTCTCAGGTATGGCACATACGTGAAACAAAAGTGCTCGATGCCTGCGGCCTGTGGTTGTCACCAACAGTGATGCTAGAGGGAAGAGCAGCTTGATTCATCACTGGTGATTGTGTGGGAGGTGACAGAAACTGGAAACCTGCACACTGGGAAGAGAAGGGTAGCTAGGACTAGATCTGTACTTGTGAAGGAAAAAGCAGTCTATACTCGAAAATCCACTCAAAAAACCAAAATCATAAGTATTTGATAGCAATATGCTGTCATTTCTTTCTGTTGTATGAGTATGTGTGTCCATATGTATGTCCCTGTATGTGTCTGGTGTGTGTGTGTGTCCCCATCCGTGTGTTTGTGTCCACCACATGCATGCCTGGCTTGGGGCACAGAGGCAGGAGGGTCAGAAATTCAAGATCATCTTCAGACATTCAGAAAGTCTGAGGCCAGATTGGCCTCATCACAAAAAAAAAAAAAAAAAAAAAAAAAAAAAAAAAGATATTTCTATTAACAATTCTGTTTATTTAAACAAAAAAAAGTTGACAAAGTTCTATTAACTTGGAAATATATAGATTCTATTAAAAAACATTTTAGCTCTTCTGAAATGAAGACCCATGTAAAAGCTGTGTTTTCAGGAGTAACCGCATGGCCCAGCAGATAAAAGTAATAACCAAGCAAGCCTTGAAACCCTGACTTTACCTTGAGTCCCAGAACCTGGGAGAGAACCAACTCCACTAATACACACGTAATAATATTAACAAAAATAATACATTATCATCAATTTTAAATAGATGCATTTTCACAATTAAATCAGACTTTTGATAGACAAAAATTTGCACTCAATTTGTATTATTTAAGAGAGAAGTAGATATTTGAATTTTTCTCTGATATCCTTGAAAGAATTAGTTAAGCCATTTTAAAATAAATAATATCTAAATTTAAGAAAACATACAGCCAGTAATTATTTGCATAATTTCCCATGGTTTACTGAAACATGCATCTCAAGGATGTATATTTGTGCCCTGAAAGACCGGTACCACATACCAATTCCAAACAGAATTATCAATAGTAGTATTGAAGATTTAAGTCTTGAATTGTGGCACAAATCATCTGGTTGCTAAGAACTGGACTTCATGAATACAAACTATAAAGGCCCACTTATGTTTGAGGGTGACCTACAATATGTTGTGGGTATTTTAGGTCTGTATTAAATAAAGAAGAAAAGCAGCAACAGAACATGAAGGGCAACAAAACAGGGAGAGAAGAACTAGTTATTAGTTCCTCCTACACTGAGATGTCAACTCTAAACTTTGGATAAGTCTGTGCTTGACAAAACACTAAACTAATCCCAGAATCACCCGGGAGGAAGTGTCAAGATCGCATAACCCATCCAGGGTGCCCATAAAACATTACAGGCATTCCTAAGAACCCATCACTGTAACTTCAAATTTTCTAACTCAGCACTGTCTTAGTTAGGGTTCTACTGCCGTGAAGAGGCACTACAACCACAGCAACTCTTATAAAGGAAAACATCTCATTAGGGTTGGCTTGCAGGTCAGAGGTTCAGTCCATGGCCATCATGGCAGGAAGCATGGCAGCGTGACGGCAGGCAGACAAGGGGTTGGAGCAGGTTATGAGTCCTACGTCTGAAGCAGCGAGCAACAGAAAGAGAGACAGACACTGAGTCTAACTTAAGCATTAGAAACCCAAAGCCCACCCCGTGGATACACTTTTTCCACGATTACACCTCCTAATCTCTCTCAAGTACTACTACTTCAAATGACCACACATTGAAATACAGCAGCCTGTAGGAGCCGTTCATATCCAAACCATCTAATCAAAAAGAACTTCTCCAGATTTTGAGCCTTAATTTATAGCTCAGTCTATCTATATTGTAAACACATGCAGCTGCATTTACAGAATATGACAAGGAATGTAAGCCTTTTTAGTGGCCTGAATGTCTCCTCGGCAACATAACTTAAAGCACCAAAACACAAAAAAAAAAAAAAAAAAAAAAAAAAAAAAAAACAAAAAAAAACACAATAGATTTTATAATTTGTTTACTTAGAATCAGAACCCTGCATAGATATCAAATATTTGGGTTACCTTTAGTAAAATGGAGTAACCACTTATAGATGCTTTGCAGAAAAATGAATCTGATTTAAAAATGTCCTAGCAAGGAAGGAGGAAGGTAGCTCCAGTTTAGATGGAGCTTAGCTCGCGGGTAGAGAAGAGTGGGCAGAGTGGCCCAGCAGGGAAAGTCACTTTGCCAGACTTGACCTTCTGACTTCCTTCCCCAGAACCCACAAGGTGGGAGCAGAAAATGCATTTCCCTAAGTTGTCCTTTGATCTCCACAAAAGCACCTCAGCACACATGCAAACTCACTAAATGAATGAATGTGATTTAAAATAAACAGAAAGACCAGGCCCAACACTCACAACGACCCTTAAGAAGCAAGCACTCTGCTGTGAAGGACACATAGCAATGGATTCTCCCAGCTTCATACAGTGTGGGATGAAAAGACTGGTTGGATGCTGTGATAGTAACACCGTGTGTGACCATTCACCAAGCTTTCACCACACATGAGACCTTATATTACAGCATTACATACTTGCGTCCCCTCCACAATCATGCATGATGACACATTATCATAGCTTGTAGTAAAATAACACACAAAATTAACTCTTTACACAGGTGATCTTACTGCCATTTTGACTGAGGTCAGGTGACCTTACCACCATCTTAACTGAGGTCAGGTGACTTCACTGCCTTCTTAACTAAGCTCCAGGTCAGGGGACAAAGTCCTGCCATCTTTACTGAGGTATTTCCTGCCTGGTTCCCTGTTTCTGACTCTGTTGCATGAGTGTTTTTTGTGCAGTGGCATGCCTTTGGTAGGGCCCACCAAGAGCATCCACTTTGCCCAATTCCTGTTGACACTGTGTATGTGTGTGCATACATGTAATTTAAATAAACCTATGTTTACTGTTAAAAAAATAACACACAAAAATATTAAAGTACATTTCTCAAGCATTCATGCATCTTAAAAGTAGAACGAACATTTGTACTAAGGACCTGATTGTCATCTGAATTCATCTCTTTATTTTAATGTGAGAAGAGAAGGTTACCAAATTGGGCAGTAGAGGGGTAGCTGAATGCCTTCTCCCTCATCCCAAGCACTGGGACTGCTCGGATGACACAGAGTCTGTCTCCTCCTTTGGCATGTCACAACCCGGTACAGGAACTCAGGTATTAGGGAAAGATAGTCAGTTCTGTGATAGATGAAAATGATGCCTGCCCACTCCAGCCTAACAGGTCAAAAAAGGTTTCTCAGAACTGCTCTATCCAATGAAGGACCCGCCGTGACTAGAAGATGTTTGTAGTGACCCCAAATGTTTTGCTTAAGGCAATAGAATGAGCTGATCAGGGGATGATGGAAAATAAATTGGAAATATTGCTCCTCGCTTAGGGAACTAAGATTTAGCGAAAGGATGTCTCCCTACATAACACGTGGAAAAAACTAAGAAGCTGAAGGTCCTTGGTGATTTCTAGCCTGTGAGATTCACTAACAGAGAATGCTGAAGACAGGAGTACAAACCTTGTAGCTCATGGCTTTTCAGACAGGAGAGAACTTGGGTGGCTCCTTAGAGATTGATACAATGTCCTAGGTCATCTTAAAGATTGATTGCTAGGCCCTATTCTGCTGTTCTGACACCTCCTAAAGACAACAAACATTGCCTGGTGTTAATTGCCCCTGGTAAAAGGAAAAGTCTGAGAGACATGTTTCATGCTGGGACAGTTCCCAGCTGGTCTCTGTGAAGGGAGGGACAGCTGCCACACACTCTACAGAGACCTCCCAAGGCAAAGAAGGAATGGGAACTGAATCTTTTAGCATCTGCTAGGTGCTGTCCAGCATGCTAGACAATTTAAATCATGCTTCCGTTTCTGTACCCAACTCCTAGAAGAAGGTTTAACTAGTTCCATCATAACTCATGAGGAAACAAGAGTGGGCATCTGCAGGACCACCACACAATACACATTTCAGGGCTGAGGGACTTGTTCTAAAATGTCCAACATAGTGGGCATCTGCAGGACCACATACAATTCATATTTCAGGGCTAAGGGACTTTGTTCTGAACTGTCCAACATAGTGGACGCTGGCCACATGCTGTAGGTGATTATTTGACAAGAAGCTACTGTGACTGAAGAATGAAATCCCAGTTGTATTTTTTTAAAGCACACTTTTTTAAATTTTTTTTAATTTTTTAATGATTTATTTAACTTTATTTTATGTGCATTGGTGTGAAGGTGTCAGATCTCATGGAACTGCATTTTCAGACAGTTGTGAGCTGCCATGTGGGTGCTGGGAATTGAACCCGGGTCCTCTGGAAGAGCAGTCAGTGCTCTTACCGCTGAGCATCTCTCCAGCCCCCCAGTTGTATTTTCTTTCAATAAATTTAAACTTATGATAAGATCGGCTGGACAGGCCAAGGGACTCACATAGATGGGGCAGTTATTTTTTGGGTTATGTAGTTGTAAGTGTAAGATTTTCTAATTCTAAAGGATTGGAACATTCCAGAAAGCAACAATCCATCTAATTTCCCAGATTTTGCTTTTCTTATTCCTTGCCAAAGCCTAGTTTGAGGAGGTGGAGGGGGACAATGCTCATTTTTTGGACATTTTGATCTCTGTAAAATCATCATTAGGTGATGAAAATAATTTCAAGAAGAATAGGCCTCAGAGTTCTGGACAACAAGAACAACAAACTCAATGAGGAGAGTAGAACTTTCTAGTTAAAGATTACTAGACCCAGGATGTAAGTGAAAGCAAGACAGAGTCTTTTGGTGTATTGAGGGAGAGAGGAAATTGTCAGCACATGGAGGGTTGAAGCATGAAGGACTTGGACATTTCCACCCTTTACAATGAAAAGAATATCTCTAGAGACAGGAGTGACATCACAATGAAAAGAAGAATACCTCTAGAGACAGGAGTGACTTCATAATGAAAAGAAGAATACCTCTAGAGACAAGAATGACGTCAAGAACAAGAGGCAGCCAGTCATTTGTTAATTTATTCCTCCATTTCTATCCACTGTCTTATTAGTTTAAAGGACTTGGAGGTCCAAAGCATAAGGACTGGAAAGATGTCTCCAGTGGTAAAATGCTTGCCTTGACTTGGGATACATATTTACTGCTGGGAGAGGTTTGGATGGCCACAAAAAACAAAAAAAAAAGAATAAAGAAGTAAGATTTTACTCAATGCTAAAGTGTTTGCCTTGTTAGCATAAGGCCCTGAGCTGATTCCCAGAACCCACTTTACAAACAAAAGAGTACTGCTCCTTGCTTATAACCTTAGCACAGCAGAGGTCAAACAATTGGATCCCTAGGCTGCTGGCCAGTGAACCCAGCCTACCTAGTGAACTCCAGGCCAGTTTGAATCAAAAACTGACTGGACAATGTTCTTGACAGCAACAACACACCCTGCTTCCACATACATGTGCTTCCATGTACATACGGATCTGCACATGTGTGTGCATATACAAGTATTCATATGCATGTGTGTACGTGATGGAGGAAGGTCACTGGCTAATAAAGAAACTGGCTTGGCCCATTTTATTGGTTAGAACATAGGTGGGGAAACAGAATAGAATTCTGGGAAGAAGAGGAAGTGAGGTCAGACTCTGCTCTGCTCCCGGAGAGACCCAACAGCTCTGCTCTCTGGAGCAGAGATGCCATGCTCAGCTCTCCCGGGTAGACTCGACAGCTCTGCTCTCTGGAGCAGAGACACCAGGCTCCACTCTCCCAGGCAGCTCTGACTCAGGATGGACTTAGGCTAGAATCTTCCCGGTAAGCGCACCTTGGGGTGCTTACACACATTATTAGACATGGGCTAGTCCAGGTGCGAGAATTAGCCTAGAAGAGGCTAGATAGAAATGGGCCAACCAGTGTTTAAATGAATACAGTTTGTGTATTGTTATTTCGGGCATAAGCTAGCCAGGCGGCTGGGATGCTGGGGACGCAGCCCCGCCGCCGCTTCCTATTTCAACATGTATGCATGCAGACACAACACACACAGCATGCCATGTAGTGGCATTTTATTTGTATTTTAATAAATAAAACTTGGCTGAGGAACAGAAAAGTAAAATAGCAACACTGGTAAGTCTTACAAACCAGGCAGTAATGACACACACCTTAAGTAGCCACAATGACTCGCACCTTTATTCCCAGTAACTGTAACCACACTAGCTTGCCATTGAAATCAGGCGCTAGTGGTGCATGCCTTTCATCCCAGCTCTGGAGAGGAATATATGATGGGGGAAACAGCTCACACACAGTTTCATTCTGAGATTCCTGGAGGCAGGATCGCCATTCTGAACTGAAGTAGAGGTAAGAGCCAGTGGCTGACTGTTTTGCTTTTCTGGCCTTCAGGTTGAACCTGAGTTTCTCTCTGAGTTTTTACTAATTGTGCTTCACATATATGTAAAAAAGAAATGTCAACATAGTGGCCAGTTGTGAAGCAGAATTGTCCTTTGTCATAAAAATACAGCTAAGACAAAAGTAATCATGTTTTATAAATCTATTCCTTTTGTTGATTTCATTTTGATGCGGAACCAGGATTCAGGGAAAGAGACTTGCATGAGATCAAACAGAAGTTCCAGGATCCCTGTAATACCTTTCTCCATTTAGCCTCAGTTCTGCAACTGACCCGGGATATCCCCTTCTATTTCCATTGTGCAGGGGCCAAGGGGAAGAGTGTGATGACATGAATAAGATCAATGGTGATGGCTGCTCCCTTTTCTGCCAGCAAGAAGTCTCCTTCAACTGTGTCGGTGAGTCTTTGTCATATAGTTGTACTTGGCTGGTTGCTCATTTATAATAACAATTGTGAGTAAATAAAATCACTCATTTCAGTTCACATTTATTAAATATCTCCCATGTGACACACACTATCATAAACAGTGAGAACGCAGAAGTTGAAAAACAAGGTAGGACGACAGAGGGCAAATATTGCTGTCCTCATGAGCTCGCGTCCTCAGAGATGATGACAATGACAGGTGACATTTTTATGACCCTTTACCTTACAAACATTACTGGTTTCCTTCATACCAATTGTCCAAGATGGCTATGGTATAGTATATTATGAGTAAGTTTTTTATTCTTTAGAGGTGGGAAAAATCAGAAGTCGAAGCGATTACAAAATATGTTCTGAATCCCAATGACCGGCAGAGACTGAAGAATGTCTTGACCTTGATTGTGTGTGATTCTCACATCTCTGCTCACCCTATTTCTTACACTCTCCACCTGGGGGTCTACCTGCTGCCTGGGTGCTTGCTTCAGATCTAAACTGCGCAGTCTCAGGGATCTGCAGGGCAGGACAAATAACAGCCCAGTCTGTGCTTTGAAAGCAATCCTCTTTTCCCCACCTTTAAACAATTCGGGTGGGAAAAGTGTTTTCCTCTGCCTTCTCAAGGAGTCTGGCCTATCTTGTTGTTTCAGCCCCACTTGGGAGGCCCTGTCCAGCCCCAGGGCTGGTAAACAGGGGGTGGGGGCAGGGATGGAATTTCGAGCTGGCCCAGATGAGATCATGCTTCCTTTAAGATGCAAATCGATACCTGAAGATCAAAGGTCCTCTCGCTAATCCCTTGGGCTGGAGGTGAAAACCAATCACAATTCATTTGCAAGTACAAAGGACAGAGGTGCACTATCTGAAAGGGACTGGGCAGCTCCAGAAGGGATGAAAACCTCGGTGGGAAGATTTCTCACTGAAAGGCCGTCTTCCAGGAGGACTGTGGGGAAGAGATGTCATCGCATCTTTGCATCTGCAGTGCATTAAAGCGCTGCTCTGTCTTCTTGTAGACTAAGGTCTGTGAGCATAAAAGAAATGCGTCATTTACTGTCAGTTCATTCTGAACACCACTCTGGTGCACCTACTGTCTATCTCCTGCACCAAGTCGGAGCTGAGCAACACCATGGAGATGCTCTGCAAACGAGTGTGGTTCCAAAAAAGAAGACATTGAATGAGGAAGGACTTGACAGTTTCTAGGCAGAACTTTGCCTCGTTTTCTTTTTTTAATTGCAGAAGTCTTTCTCCCAGGTTGAGCGCTGGGTGTAGCCTGTTGTGAAAACTTGATTACTAACTAGCCTAGTGGTATGGCAACAGGGAACATGACCTAAAATCAAGAGTCAAGCTCTAGATCAAATGTTAAAGACGTGCATAAGGTTGAGCAGGTTTGGGCCTATGTCCACGTCCACTAAATGGAAATGATTAGGTAAGGATCTTTGAGAATTGGTCCTTCTACTATATGGTTTCCAGTGTGTGTGGCTGAATTATAAACTTTACTTGAACCCAAACTTCACCTTTGCCAAGTATCACTGATCCCAATCTATACCAAAAATACTTATCTATCTTACTTATGTGAATGTCTCTTTAGAGCTCCCTGGAAGACAGTAGGTTCTGGTGAAGGTGGGGTGTTCAGCACGGATCCCCTAAAATAGATGCTTGATATCTAACGTTCTTATACTGTTCTCTAGAACTAGTCAACAATACACAATGACTGGAAAGCTGCTTTCAGGCAAGGATCAGTAAACTGTGGTCCACAGACCGGAACTAGGATTTGTATATTTCAGGAACCACATTCACTCACATTCCGAAGTCTGAAAGCTTCCCAGACACATCAGAGGAGAGTGGGTGAAAGATCCTGTGTTCCAGGGAACTCAAAACATTATCTGTCCCTTTAGCTACAAAGATTTTCACTTGCTGAACTGTGCATCAGAATTTTAATTCTTTTGGTTGCTATAACCTTGTGCAAAGAGTGCAAGGAAATTAGGGTGTTATCAACCACTTATCAGAAACTGAACTGAATTTTAGATATAGAGTAGTAGGATTGAGAGACTCTTCTAGAAGTAGCACTAAGTGGTGAATCTAGAATCTGTTTTCCTTTTTGGCCATCACTTTTCCTTCTGCTTTGAGTAAAGATTCAGGATTAGCAGTTTTCAAATTGTGCTCTTTAACATTTGTGAAGAATTAAAACTGAAGGAAAGGGTGTTGTCGAGAAGATAAGACTCAGTTCATCTTCTTTACTAGGTCCTAAGTGTTCTGTTGGGGATAGTATTTGATGGCCAACTTTTCTATGTCAGGCATATTTGTAAACCATTATTCTCCGTGTACCTTTTCTATGAATCACTTTCACAAAACAAGGCAGGACGCTTGATGCAGAAGATAGGCACACAGGGCTAAGTCAAGTTTAAAACGAGGTCTGAGGATATACTTATTGTGCAAGTTACTTGCAAGAAAGGTCACTCATCAGTTCTGATTTAAAGAGCTTTGGAGGTTGATGGGGACTTTATCATTATGAAGCAATTCACGTAATAATGTAATGGAGTGGAATACATAGATGATATGAAAGGATGTCTTTCATTTTTACATTGAGTTATGTCTGTGTTAAAGATATCAGCTGTACCCTGACTGCTCGTTTAGATTCCATGATAGACTCTTACAGACATACAGGCATTCCAGGCAGAATGGAATGCTTCCTAAGATACCAGATCTCGGAGATTTTATTCCAACACAAACTCTAAAGCTTGAGTCTGAAAAACTTCCTTTTAAGAAAAACATCTCAAATATTAGGAGGGAAATTTGCACACACACACACACACACACACACACACACACACACACATGTATACTAGCTTTAATGACTCAGAGAGGTGAGACTGGAGTTTTGTTGAGGGCTTTGTTGATGTGGACATTCTTATTATTGTGTGTGTCAAGAGTAATGAACAAGAAAATGGGCCTCTGTGAAAATGACTTGGGTTCACACCACAGCTTGGATATACAATGCTGACTAGGATTTGGTATTCTCATCCAGAAAATGTCAAAGACCTGGGGCTCACCTCTGACATCTATATCCTCTTTCTAGACCTAAGGAATCAGAATCATTCTCCCAATGAGGTAGAGCCCAATCCTCATTAGAATAGTTGAATACCCAAGGTTCTTCCCTAAGTCACTCCAGCTCATGTATGGCTCACAGCCTAGATTTACCTTCTATCAACAGACAAGAGATACCCAACTTGGATTTTGAAGCCACTATGGAATCGATTCTGTTGGAGATGTATCCAAAGTACTAGAGACAGCATCTAGCATCCCAACTGAGGAGACACAGGAACAGGTGTGTTAGTTCTTCCAACGCCAAATCTTCTGCCTGAAAATTGGCCTGTAGGGCATACAATTCCTAGTTTACAGTTCTCCAAGAAAGCCCTCCATCAGATACTGGGTATTTCAAATATCTGGCTTATTTAGTTTATTTTGTCTAAGCTAACCACAATTGATTATGCCTAAAAATCCTAACTGAAAAATATCCTCACCACGTAGGAGGACGTTCAGTAGCGTTTCCTGAAGAGGCTTCCCTCTGCTTTTGTGGAAGACATATCAACTGCAATAGTCCTTGCTGGGAGCCTCACAGTGGGGTAGCCCTATACTGTGCAGTTTTATTTAATATGAGTCTATGTGTGGCTCTTATTCCTCGTGTGAGATCTGAGATTTTTTTCATGTTGTTTCAGCTGACCCAAGCTTGCGGAGATATGGTTCTACCTCCAGACTGAATAAAAGACCCTGCCTTGTCCCTCTGGAACTCTGCCATTGGAAATATTTTTCTTCCTTCTTTCTTTTTCCTTCCTTCCTTCTGCTTTTCATTTCTGATTTTTCCTCTTCCATCACCTCCTGTCTTCCTCTTAGTTCTTGTCATCATTCCCCTCCTGCTCCTTCTCCTCCTCTGTTGCCGCTGTTATCACAGGCCCTTTAGAAGGGCTGTTTTCCCTGGGCCAATGACAGCAGTGGGAGAGTGGGTGACAGATTTATGGGGGCATTCCCCTTCACTTTTCAGAAGCCCACACATCCGGAAGTATTCCCAAGGTGCCAATGTGTTATTGTGCAACACTCTGGTGACTTCCCTTTTCCACTTTCCCACCCTCGGTGCCCCAGTCCCCCAGCACATAATAAGTTTCTTATTAAAACAAATACCGCCCACAAGACCTCTTGAGTAATACCGATTACATCCCTTTTGCAATGTGGAAATTATCTTGTCCTCTTTCCGCCTTTTAGAACTGTAACACACACCAGGCCTGGGGTTTCCTTTAAAGACCATGGTATCAGTGAAGTGATAACTCCCCCAGCAGGCGCTGGCTGGAGGCATTGTTCAGCAGCAGTGGGGATTCCTCGGGAAGGCACTGACTCATAAACCACAGACAGGCTACTGATAAAAGCTGAAGGAGGGAAGGTAATGGTCAAATTAGTCAGACAGAATGTGCAGGATCCTCCAAAGGGTTTCTACTTAGTCATATATCTTGAGGCAAAGCTGGAAACATGTTCCCTTCAGAAAGGCTCTTAAGCTCTTCCATCAACCCTGGGCATCTTCGTCTCCCACCCGGCATGTTTCAGGGTCGTCTCGGATAGGCCAGTCCAGGTCCCAGTTTAGTGGTGCACCCCGTGCAGCATGTTGGAACCTCAATTTTTCCCTTCGTGAAAGACTCTTTATGTTTTCATTAACCACCTAATGCTGAGCAATCCTAGCTTCGCTAGTAGCTATTTAAGGCTGGAGGAGACTTAAGCCTTACTTAATGTTGACATATAGTCAAGGAAAAACAAAGTCATGGAGACTCCCATATCCTACCTCCCAGGACTGCAGGCACCCCCACTGTGTCTCTGCTCTCTTCCACCAAGCTCCTCCCCCTCTCCCCGCAGCGTTCAGCATCACTTTGTCTCTCATTCCTAACAGGGCATCTGCACCCCTGTGTTAGAGCCAGGGTCAGTAACTCAATTAGCACTCCCTAC